GATGTTGTTGTTTTCCATTCCTCGAATGTGTAGGCGGAGACACGTCGAGTATTATAATTGTTTACATGAACTTTTAAATGATATAAAATAAAATAAAATAAATATAGTTATGAGACACTAAAACTAAAAATTACTATTTAGGTACAAAGAGAATCAAGAAATTCGTCCGCATCGACATCTATTAGGAAAGTACCCACAACGCTGGCAGCATTGCTACGTTCTATGGTAATGCTTAATCTGAGCTTTTTGGTTAGACATGTTTAAGAAACTCAATTTTGCAAATTCAAATATTTCAATACAAAAATCGAGATCATAACAAACCTCTTATAAAATTAAGAGGCAATCTAGAGGTATTTCAGTAATGGACAGCCAATGATACTCTAGGCATACACTCAACATAGTATATCGAGCAACGGAATTTACACAACTTAAATGAAGTAAAGTAAATGAAAACAAGGTAACGATTACTGAAGTTATTAAGTACCTATCCTTTTGCAGGAAAATTAATGACGTAACAAAGTCACAAAGACAACTTGTTTAAATACTTTGACAGGTACAAAGTCTAAAATAAACGCTAAAGTCACCTAAAATAACAATATCGTCGATACATTTAGTACACAAGGATTCAAGGATGTAACGGTGGACTTTGAGGAGAAACCTTAATTAATGAGAGTGTCTAAACCTAAATTACAATGTGTCTAATTACAAACTACCTATGGAATTGTCAAAGGTCAGAACCTAAATGAATCGTCATTATTATATCATCACGGCTTTAAATTAAGTAGACGGAGGCAGAACTTAATGTACATGTATAAAGTAACACCCACTTATGTACATAATTAATAATTATGTAAAATAGTTGTATCTACCATGCACCGGGAGAATTTCTAACATCTGCGCTACATACATACATAAATAACTCACGCCTGTCCTCCATAGAGCAGGCAGATACTATGGAACGCCAATTGCTACGATACATACATACCTCTTTCGCTTCATCAATACAACATAGATCTGCGTTATTATTTAGAAGTATAATAAACTTAAAACTGCACATTTAAACTTCGATTTTAATAATTAATTCGTGTTCAAACAATACACAAATAAAAATACAACAAACCTTCGTTAAAAGTCGAATCCGAAATGGAAAATTAAAATCCCAACAGTCCAAACTGTCAATTAGGCAAATAGCTGAATGCAATGTGCTGACAATAGCTAACTAGAGTTTTGCAGCAAAATTCTAATCCTACTGTCCAAACCCACCAGACGAAAATAATCGCTAATGAGTTGACTATACTGCTCAAAATATATTTTTAGATAGAGTGGAGCGGATTGCGCATAAAAATAAAATTAAAATGAGTCCTTCGGAAGTAATTTTGAGGTTAGCTTAAAAATACTGTAGAAATCTGTGAGCTTCTATAATGCAAATTATTATTATGTTAACCTATTAAGATTCTTAGAGATTACAGCTTAGTTATAAGATATCGGTGGGTGTCTTAAAAACCGACTCGGGGCGACTAACTGCGACCTTTACCCACGTACCAAACTTGGCGATAGACCAAAGACCAAAGACCAAAGACCCACAGCTCAGCTATATACCGTCACGGGCTTTTAATGTCGATAAAAGAAAATTAATATGACGGAAAACGGGTACCTGATTTTTTTTATAGCATAAGCCGGTAAACGAGCAGACGGATCAACTGATGGTAAGCAATCGGCGTCGCCCATGGACACCCAATACACCAAGGCGTTACAAGTGCGTTACCGGCCTTTGTAATTGGGAATTTGAAGATTTTGGACACTAGGGAGGGGTAATTGGGCTTCATTTCACATTAATTTCATATATCCAGTTTGAAGCACCCAAAATAACCACTCAAAAAAATAAATACCTAGTTTTTTAAACGTTTGACATTTATTAATTGAAATACCCACGTAAGAATCAATTTGCACACGTACGAATTCAAAATCCCTAATTAAATTCTCAATCTCACACTAGAATCCGATCTGATTGCGACTTGTGTACCTAAAGTACAATACGTAATTGTACCAAACAATACCGTGTCACCTGTACGGTCGCCGGACCGGCTCGGAGCCGGCGAGAAGCCCTAATCCGGAGCTAATCTAACTGTATATCCGGTAGCAAATAGCATTATGCACCGGACCGTTTAACCCGTTGTGTGTTTTTGTATTTATAGTTCACCCTGAGTAAGGACAAGGCTGAAGTTTGTTTGTATTGTCTTGTGGTGATTACTACGAATAAATAATACCTAAATAATACTTCTTTTGTGATTAGTAAGTCCGATTACAATGAGGAAAATACCTTTTAAACCGACCTCAAAAAAGAGGGGTCAAAGTAGATTTTTTTAAACATAACAATCGTCGTTATGCTTCAGATACAACTTAATAAATATGAACTAAGAAATATCTATGTTCTACGAGCTTATCTTTAACACTCGTCAAATCTAGAACAAATGCGCTAGATAACAGGTGCTGCATTGTTAGACTGCATCCCATCGGGAACCAGATAATACAGCATTGTAAGGGGTTTCACCTCGAAGCAAAAAGGGGAAAACTAGGGGAAGTGCATAGTGTCAAATGTTACTATTAATGTTGATATCTTGATGGATATTTTTTTACAAACAAAGTTATAGTAGATTCACAATTAAATTTAGATCAACTGATCTTTTTATTTGTGAGATTTGATTTCACGTTGATCATTTTACAATTATGGAAACGGTTTTTTTAAGATCTACTAACATAACATCACGTTTAATTAAACTAGAAATCTATATAGATAAATAAAATTAAAATGTCTGTTTATAATATTAAAATACGATACGATACACTTACCAAAATAACATTTATTACAATTTTTGTGTCTGTCTGTATGTACTGGCTAATCTCTGGAATGACTGGACCGATTTTGACGGGACATTTATTGGCAGGTAGCTGATTTACTAAGGACTAACATAGGTTAGTTTTATTTTGGAAAATTGAAACATAACAAAAGTTCGGGCAACGGTTAGTAAAATATAAAAAATTAAGGTGGAAAGGTGAAAATTCAAAATCAAACTTTGAGGAAGAACTTAATGTAAAAAGGAAACAATTTAGTGTTTATCTTTTTGTCTTTCTACTTAAGTTTTGTCTAGAAAAGGTAAAAGGTGAGTATTTGAAAGTTGTAAGTAAAATTTAAATTCCAGGAAACTTTTCGTGATGGATTACTTAAACTTATTTTTAACTTATTACTTGAAGTGCTACTAAGATCGTAGGTTTGAATTCTTGGCATTTTGAGAGAGTGGCATTTTTCATATTACTTAACTTAACTTAACAGTTAAAGTGCCTCGTTGGCCGAGTGGTCACAAATGCGACTGCCGGGCAAGGGGTATCGGGTTCCATTCCAGGGTCAGGCAAAGTATTAGTGGGATTTAAAAAAAATCAGTAACTAGTAGCACTCTGTTTCTTATGGCAATAGGCTCACACCCCATTACAGGAGACTCATAACATAAAATAGTGATAAGTGGGTGTTACATTATACAGTGGCATTAACTCGTCGAGTACCGGTTTTGTAGACACAATTATAGAACAATAGGTTGCGGTCACCGGTGACCGCTTGGTGTTTGACAGTTTAAGCCACTGCCTACCGCTTCTGAGATAAAAGGCTTGTTGTTAGTATTTATGGATATGATTCTGTCATTTGATTCACCTATTTTAGTAATAATAATTGAACGTATTGTACTAAGAAATCCAGTCAAAAATTAACGCATTTTTGCTTCTATCCAACGCGAACAGAACTTCATTAGTCGAGACATACTAATCTTTTTAATCCAACTTAATAATGGATTCAGCTATTATTAGCATTAAAGTCAAGTTAAGTCG